TGGGCTGGCCAGCTGGGAGGTGTGCGAGGCTGCGGCCGCAGGAGGCTCCGCACTGCCGAATCCCTGGTGTCCCCCCTTGCAGAGGTTCCCAGGTGGGGCCACCAACGCCTCCCTGTCGAGGGTGCTCGGCTGCTGGGGCCGGGCTGGGAGCAGACCCCTGTGTTTGAGCCGCGCGGGTGCCTGGGGCTCCGCATCAGAGCCGTGCGTCCGTCGCACAGAAGCGTGGACGTGCTGGGGTACGGCGATGTCCGTGCCGTCCGGTCCTCTGAGGAGCCACCCGTCTCTTGCAGGTGAAGAGGAAGCTGAACTTGGAGACGGATCACCAGTACATAGCAGAGAGCCTGCCGACGGCCCGGGGCAAAGCGAGAAACCCTGCGAAAGGTACTGGCTCAGCTCCCTGCCGGAGCCCGGGTCACAGCCCAGGCTGCGCTGCTGCTGGGAGCGCTGCCTGATACCGGCCTTCGCCCTCCTCCAGCTGGACATGGGGGTCCACCACCGCCAGGATCGCACCCAGGCGGGCTGGACTGCGGCTCTGGGCTTGTGCCCTGCTGCTTTTACCCATCCCTCCGTGTCGGTTTGCAGAGGCTCTCGCTGGGGGCCGGGGCGTGCCTGGCCCGTTCTCTCTCTCCCGGCTCAGCTCATGCGGGCAGCAGCCCTGCAGGAGTGAGCATGGGAGGTGGCGTCCCCGAGGACAGAGCTGAGGCTGGCAGCATTGAGTCTGTCCGCGTGGGGCTGCGGGCAGACGTGGCCTCGCTGCACCCAGCTCCCAGCAGGCTGGAAGCGGCAGCGGAGCTAACAACCCTAGTTCTCCACGGGGTGCACGGCGCATTGCTGGGCTGACGCGCGTTTACGTGGCCCGGCGCTGATGCCGAGTGCAGAAAAGCCAGGTAAACTCCTCTAGCGCGAGGCCTGTATCCTCCCAGCCATCTCCCGCATGACCCATCGCCGAGCCTTAGGAGCAGAGACATAAGGATCGAAGCGAAGCATGCCCTACATTGGGCCTCGCTGGTTGTCCCCTGCCTGGCCCCGATTCTGCAGTCGGGCTCCTGCAGGCGAGGGCTGCCGAGGGCTTTGGGCCGAGATCGCTGCGATGTGCGGGCTTGGGGAAGGCAAGGGCTGGAGTGGGACAGGGTTTGATGGCATGCGTTTCGAGCGCGGTAGGGCGTTGCATGGACTTCAGGCCCGTGTGGCTGAGGGCAGGTGGCAGGGGAGCAGATGGTGACAGCCCAGCCAGAGGAGGTAGGGCTGAGCTTTTTGAATGCAGGCAGGCTGAGCTGAAATGGGTCCTGTGATGTGCGAGCAGGCCCTGATGGGTCTGGGTGTGCTGGTGGCTACAGCAGCCTCCTCTGGGTGTCAGGAAGGGCTGGGAAGACAAGCTGGAGGGGGCCCCCTGCCACTGGGCTCTGGGTGAGCCCTGAATGTGTCCTTGGCTGCTTGCAGGGGCAAAGTCTCCCGGGGAGAAGTCTCGCTATGAAACCTCGCTGAACCTCACCACCAAGCGCTTCCTGGAGCTCCTGAGCCAGTCACCCGACGGTGTGGTGGACCTCAACTGGGCAGCCGAGGTCCTGAAGGTGCAGAAGAGGCGCATCTACGACATCACCAATGTCCTGGAGGGCATCCAGCTCATCACCAAGAAGTCCAAGAACAACATCCAGTGGCTGTATGTACCTGGGATGGGCTCCTGCAGGGCTGGGGCCTATTCACCTCCTAGGCTGGGACCAGAGGAGACTCTTGAAGCAGCTTGGACGGGGGTCAGGGTGGGAGCTTGTGGGTCTTGCAGGCAGGCTTGGATTCAACCAGGTGGGAGAAGCTCAGAGCGGTGTCACACTGCTGCTGGCAGCTGGATTGAGTATCTGCCCTGGGATCGCGTGGAGGCTCTCTGTTCTGGCAGGCCATGGCCTTAGGGGAGGGCTGCGCTTGACCACGGGTGGCTCCCGAGCATCGGTTTCCCAGTGTCGTCTTCAAATGTCTCTTGTCTCAAGCCAGGGCCTTGCAGGCAGTGCAGCCACCCCTGGGAGCCAAGCCATGCCCTGGGCAGCAGGGCCTTCGTTTGGGATCTGGCAGGGAGCCTGGGGGACAGCCCAGGACAGTGCCTGGAGCCCAGGCTTGTCCTCCCTGCAGAGCCAATTCCCTGGGCCCGAGGCAGGGCTGGGTAAAGTCCCCAGGTGGGGATGGTGCTGGGGGGCAGTTCTGGGTGTGAGCGACGGTGAGCCATTGGGTTTGCTGTGGCTGCGTTCCTGGGAGTCCCCCAGGCCTGCTGCTGCAACCCAAGGGCAGGTTGACCCCCCAGGTTCTCTCGCTTGCCAGAGAGGACAATCTGCTAGCAGAGCCACAGGCATCTTCCAAGCATGCCCTGGTGGGTGTACAGAGGCTGTACAGAGGGTGTGGGGTGGAGGAACCTGACTGTCCTGCTGTGCAAGTGCTGTCCGGGACACGGCTGTGCTGAGGGTGACAAGCATGCCCTCCCTCCAGGGGCAGCCAGGCCACGGTGGGACCTTCCAGCCAGCACCGGGTGCTGGAGAAGGAGCTGCGGGACCTGCAGGCTGCCGAGCGGCAGCTGGACGACCTCATCCAGACGTGCACTGTCCAGCTGAGGCTGCTCACGGAGGACCCCGGGAACCAGCAATATCCTTCTCTGTAGGGCAAGCTGGTTGCTGGGGCTGCTGGGGAGTCCCGTGCCCTGCGGGATTGGGGTACAGAGGGGTAGTTGGGGAGCAGCTCTCCCCTACTGCCTCCAAACCCAGGCCAAAGAGCCCTCCCTAGGTCCCGTTGGCCCCTTCTCAGGGTTCACAGCTCATGAGGAGCACATGTGGACCTGGGAGGGAGACAGTGCTGGAGAGTGAGGCCTGTGGCCGGTCCTAGGGGTCTCCAAGCCAGGAGATCGTAGCTCTTGGGCAAAGACAACACTGAGTCTATCTCCTGGGAGTATTGTGTGGCTATGGGACGCATCTCCAACCCAATAGCCATGCTTGGCACTGCCTAATGGCCCTTGAGACATGGTGGGCTAATGCTGCTCCCTGTTGGGCCTTCAGACCTTGAGTGCTGTGTCCCAGCCTCTCCTCGCATGGGCTCCTCTGTGTCATTATATCCTGCTCTTTCTGTCTGCACGCAGGGCCACTGTCTCGCAGTCACAGCGAGGCATGTGCCAGACCACTGTGGCAAGGATGGCACCTGGTTGGGTTTGGAGGGCTGGGAGAGGATGCTCTAGCCCTGATGCCCGCTGTTATGTGCAGGTGTGGCCCCCGAGCTGCTCAGTGGTGCCTGCTGGGTCGGCCCCGTGCCGTGCTCGTCCCCGGGAGGTGAGCCCGGCTGGCTCGAGGCCACATAGTACCCTGGGCGTTGTTCTGCCTGCCCCACTGCCTCTGGTGCCCCTCTCGCGTGGCGGCGGCCCCC